GAGAGAACTATACCCAGAAAGAAGCTTTGCAGCGTCTCTATGAGTTCCTAACTTTGTATATAAGTGAGATGCATTGGCTACATACATTAACATATGAAAATATATAGATGCATTGCCTACATATTGAATTATCCTCAAGATAGCCACTAATAATGGGATAATCGAAATTATAAGAACACTAATAGAATATTTTCCTGATCTAATATGGTTTAGCCTTAGCAAAGACCAATATTTATTACTCCCTTTTGCTATTGAATTTCGGCATGAAAATCTTTTCTGCATTGTGTGTGGTAAATTAATTGCTTCTACACTACTGGAATCTAGGGGGACCATCTTGCATTTGGTAGCAAAGTTGGCTCCTCTTCCCCAACTCTCATCTGTATCCAATGGAGCTCTACAAATGCAGAGAGAGTTGTAGTGGTAAAGGTGTTTTTATCTAGGAATAATAATAATAATAAAGTAATGTTGCTACACATTTGACAATAGTGTTTTTATCCCTTCAAGTAATGTGAGATTGAGGTGGGTGTTGGGTGTTGGGTGTGGGGTGTGGGGTGTGAGGTTGATGAGTTATTTATTTATTTATTTTTTGCTGGGTGTATATTTAAGGGTAACTTGTGAAGATAGTGGGGTTTTCTTAGAAATTGTGAAAATTTGAATTAGAAGTTGGGGTGAACTTAGAATATGGGGTGAACAAAGAGAAGTGCGGGGTTTAAATAGAAAAACTCTATAAGTTATAGTGATGCAGCATGGAAGCACGGATTTATGGATTGACAAATGTTTAAACCCGAAAAGATAAACTAAAATCCACAAGAAAATAGAGAGAATCTCTAAAATTGGATTAATAATTTGAATAAACTACTTAATACAATACCATGAGTTAACTTAAATAGAAAACAAAGAAACCCTAAAACTGTAGGACACCTTAGGTTCCAGAATATTCTAAAACTTAACCAATAAAAAAATAATTTAAATCCTAATTAAAATCGTATCAGGAAAATAATATTCTGATTGATAACTTATTCTAGAAATTTAAATATAAGGGTAAATTTCATTTTACTACTCGGAAGTTTCCGGAAATTATGACTTTGCTACATCAAGGTTTTTTTTTTTATCAACTTCATACCCAAAATTTGATTTTTTACGACTGTCATACCTCTGTTAGTCAAACTGTTAAGTTATCCGTTAAATGATGATGTGGCAATCAATGGCCCAGCAAAAATCAGACATATTGTGCCACGTCAGTTGATAAAAATAAAATATAAAAGATAAAAAATTAAAATAATCAATTAACAATTAGAACTTCGAGAAAAACATGAAAATTTCAAATAATTTTTTTTAAAAAACTCTCTCTCTTCTCTCTCTATAACTAAGAGCAGTTCCAGCAGTAGAAGGGTTTGGGGGGGGAGGGGTGTTGGCCCAAAATGTCGTTTCCAGCAACAAAATGAAGCCCGGGTAGAAGGCGGGACCCAGCGACCTGGGTTGGCCCGAGGGCATGTTGAGCCCCAGATCCAAAACGAGGGCAAGCTGATGTCAGCAACAAAAAAATTTTACAAAAAATTGAAAAAACGGAAAAAAATATTTTAAAAAATTCAGATTTAAAAAAAAAAAAATACTTAGTCATATTTTTCACTTCCCACACCAAAAATCTTATCCGAAAATATTGTCCAAATTAATTGTTTAAGTAAACAAATTTGTGAAAAAAACAAAAAAATGAATAGTGTTTGCCCTTTACCATGGCAAGTGCTAGAAACGCACATTGCTTTTTGCAAGGGCAGCCACTATTCATGTGAATAGTAGCTGCCCTAGCCCCCCCCTTGCCATGGCAAGGGTTTCACTGCTGGAAGTGCTCTAACGACACAGAGTCGGGTAGGTGTGGGTATTTGAGCCAGGGATCTAGGGTCGGGGAGGGGAGGGTGGTTCAGGGTCAGGGAGGTGGGGTACGGTTCTAAGGTTGGGGAGGAGGGGGATCTGAGTTAAAGAGGGGGCAGCTGCTATATTCATCTAGCCAAGATTTCAAATTCGACGACGGGGTGGGTCTTCGTGGATGCAAGACTAGGTCTTCGTGGATCAGCGATGAGGCCAACTTTTTCTTGTGTAATTGATTTGTGTGATTCGATTGTGTTTGTTGTTGTTTGGGTATTGGGAGGTGGTGAGGAACGGATGCAAGGCTTTGGAGAAGTGGGATGAAATGATAAACAAGCTGGGCTTGTTCTCAACCAACAAAGCCGGTCCTGAGCTTTCAAAGGCCCAGAGCGAAAATCTAAAGTGTGCCCATATACACACATTAATAACTGAAACTGTAGTTTTTTTTTTATAAATAAACTAAGCATTGATTTTTTTAAGAAAATAATTTTCTAAAGATCTTTTTTAGACTTTGAGCTATGTCTCATTTGTCTTTTTTGTCTTTTTAAAATTTCAAGAGTTTTAAATTTTATATTAAACAGAACTAATGACAATAAAAATCTAAACAATCACCACAACAAGTTAGAGGCAATAGCAATAAAGAAACTAAAAATATGATCAATCACACTCAAGCATGAAATGTTCAACTCTAATAATTTAACTAATAAACAGAGAACAATATAACATCTGGGTTTTGAGCATATTTTTCCCTTCAAATATAATCACATAAAACTAAACTAAACATTCAATTCCCATCCTCTAAACATTCAATGCTCGTATAAAATTAAAAAAAACATTCAAATCAACTTAAAATATAAAAAAGTTAAGAAAACTAACAAAACATATTGACAGAACATGGTGGTTAATTTATTAATATGAAGAAGATAGTGAGTGAGTAAAATTGCTGAGCCAAAAACAAAAGGCACTCAACCAAACCAACTCAAAAGGAAAAGAATGAGAAAAAAAAAACAAACGAAAGTTTTGATACCTCTTCAAAAATCCAAATTGCAAAATTTCAATGTTGAAAAAATGCAAAAGTAAAGAGAATTAGGCTTAGGCCCAAACCGGCCGAAGAGAGGGATGATGAGATTGAGAAAGATGATGAGAGGGGAGAGGATGGGAAGGAGGAGTAACAAAAGTGAAAACAAAACTTGAAAGTGAAAACAATTTCAAATAGATTTCAGTTTTTAATTTTTGTTTTCACTTTTGTTACTCCTTCCTCCCATCCTCCACTCCCATCTTCCCTCTCATTCTCACTTCTATTCTCCCTCTTTTTCCTCTATACTCTTGAATAAAAATTAAAAAGTAAAAATTAAAAATTAAATGGTTATCAAACGATCAGATGAATGGAAAAGAGGAAAAAGTTAGTTTGGTTCTTCTTCTGATTGGTTGAGTCAGTAGATCGAAATAATTAAGGCTATTGGATCCAACTCAAGATGTCTCATTCCATGCTGCAGTTTGTAGTGCGCGAATATAAAGCATAATTTTAATTTGAGTGGAAGTGAAATCACACAGTATACACCATGGTGGGTTTTTGCTCAGAAAAATATCTACATGCTTGGTTTCACTGCACACATAGACAAAACCTATAAGCATCTCTTTACTTTATACAACAAATACAACGTTTTACAAAGAGGGTCTGAAAAGAAAAGCATAACACTGCTGCCAAAGACAATTGACTGTTGCATTGAAAATATACTATTAGGGAGTTACAATAATATTTTAGTTACAATAGTTAATCCTACTAATGATAGGAAATGGTCAGTTGTATGTTATGTTGTTATTAGGCCATAACTCCATATTTATGTTTATAATAATGGCTTGCTGTAACTGTAGATTATTCTCTACATACTTTATATATATTGTATAATGATCATATGAATAATATAAAGGAAAATCAGTTTCTACATGGTATCAGAGCTAATGGCTAACGCCGATTAGTGATCCTCTAGTTGCCAACATTGAGAGTCGTTGGCGCTCCTCACCCATAAGAGTGTTTGTTTCTATACAATCATTTTTCCTCTGGGAAAATTAGTTTCTACATGGTATCAGAGCTAATGGCTAACGCCGATTAGCGATCCTCTAGTTGCCAACATTGAGAGTCGTTGGCGCTCCTCACCCATAAGAGTGTTTGTTTCTATACAATCATTTTTCCTCTCCTCTTCTCAAAGATGATATTGTTGTTTTTTTTCCCTCTCCTTCACAGCTTAGTGCCTCTTCCACTCCTCAGATACCTAGTCCCACTCCTCATCCATGTCCATCTCTTAAAATGATGGTCAGATCTCTGTTCTCCCTTAGAGAACACACCTCTCTATCGTTGTTTCCCTCTTTCTCTTGAAATCTCTCTCTATTTCTTTGTCTCCGTCGTGCTGTCTCTCTTTCCTCTGCAAGCCTTGTCAATGCTTGCCAAACTTTATCCCAGTCTACGATTGTGGTTTTTCTCTGCCTTTCTTCTTCTCTGTTACTGGTATTGTCTTCTTATCTTTATAATTTTTTTTATATTACTGGGGTATTCTCTTCTCTTCTTTTCAATTGTGTTTTCTCTCTCCCCGTCATGGGTTGTTTCTGGCATCTTGAGTTTCCTTCCTTCCATGAGCCCATGCGCTCCTTCGCATCTTGTGTTCTCTCTCCCTCTCTTAACTACTTTCTCCTTTTGATGAGTGTTCAATTTTCTCCTTTTTTTCTCTCCTTTTTCCATCTTTATTTTGAAAGGATTTTCTCTCTATGTGTTTTGCCCATACTCTCTTTTCATTTCTGTCTCACTTGGTTTCCTTCTTTATTTCTTATTATTGTTTTTTGGGTCAATAATCTCTTTTTATTTTAATCTCTATGGGTCTCTATGCTCTTGTGATGATATTTTCTTTATTACTTCTCTGTTCCCACGTGGTTTTCTTCCTCATACCTTATTTTATTGTTTCTATGTTGCTTTGAAATTCAAACTTGCCCATGCTCTTTTTTTCTTTTCTTTGTGTCCCAAGTTGGTTTCACCTCCTATCCTCTACTGCTGTGCCACCCTCTCTTAACCCCATTATTCCCTTCAAATATTCCTTCTGCTTTCTCTGCACGCATCCCTTTCTACTTACCATGTGATAAATTTTCTTTTGTTTCCACTTCCTCTCTTCCTATGGGTGTAACTTTTTTTTTTGGGGCAACCTTTTTTTTTTCTACTGGCTACTTCTTTTCTTGCTTACCGCATGCTCTTTATCCTACCTAAAGGGTGATTCCAAGGTAGAGTTATGTTTCTTAGGTGCCTAAAGTTGTTTCCTAGGTCCATTTGACTTGTATGTCAGCCCATCATTTTATTCTTTTCTTCCATGAGCCTGTGCGCTCCTTCACTTTCTGCCTTTCAATGGGCGTTATGTTTACTTTGTTTCTCTCATGCCGCTGTTGCAACTCTGGAGATTGGAGTTCTTCTTTTTGGTTCCCCTTACTGAACTACTACAACCGACTACTGTCGTCATCTCCATTACTATGTAGTTTCTTCATTCAAATCTTGCTATGATGTGTGCGCACGATTTGCGGGGGAGTATTAGGGAGTTACAATAGTATTTCAGTTACAATAGTTAATCCTACTAATGATAGGAAATGGTCAGTTGTCAATTACGTTGTTATTAGGCCATGACTCCATATTTATGTTTATGATAATGGCTTGCTATAACTGTAGATTATTCTCTACAGACTTTATATATAGAGTGCTGTTATTTCCACCCACCTGTCCTATTTTCCCATCCACCTTATTTTCTCACCCACCATATAGATTTGAAAAAATACAATCCTATTTTTCCACCCACCAATTTTCCTAAAATGTCCTTTAATTATTAATTCAAGCAAAAAAAACTTGAAACTTAAAAAAAAAAAAAAAAACCCCAACCCAAACCCAGCACAAACTTCCCTCATCGATGACCCACCTCCCCATCTCCTCCTGCTACCGACGTGGATCACTTGTGGGTTTAACAAGAATCAATGAGATACTTTAAGTTCTTCGAGAGAGACAAAAAAATAAAATAGCAAAAATCAAGCGATCAAATCAAATTATTAACCCATAACCCACGCTGGAATATCTGGTTGGGGAGGTGGTCTTTTATAATCAGCTTGATTCTGCTTTACGTTTTGGTGCAATCAGGCGAGCATATGGTTGCGATGGGCGTCTTCTTCTTTTTGCAGGTTTGCTTTTCCATGCACATTCAATTTACTCTTTATCAATTATATGAATTGTATAGTATGTTTCCTCTTCTGTTCAGTGTATATGGTGTGAATTAACTTACCCCGATTCATTTACTTCTTTATTCATTTTATTTTGGTGGTGTGTGGGGGTGTTGGCAGGTATTTTACTTCTTAGATTGGGTTAGGCAGGCACCTACTGAGTGACAGAAAGATGTTTCAAGCCTTTTTAAGGATCATTGTCACCTGCGCAGTAGGCGTTGGTGTTGTTGCTTTGGTAGTCGGCACTACATTTGGGTATATCCCTCCATGGTCGTCGATGGAGAAAGTTTGTGATGGGTTGAGGTTTTTGTCCTTAGAAGTCATTTTACAAAATAGGTAAATTTGTCTTTAAAATTTTGAAAATAAGGTGGGTGGGAAAATAGGACAAGTGGGTGGAAATAGCAGCACTCTATATATATTGTATAATGATCATATGAATAACATAAGGGAAAATCAGTTTCTACGTATACAAACCAGTGACCACCCATTTCCTCTATCATACAACAAAATTACAAATACAAAGGGGAAGAAAACAGAGAAGTGGTCCAAGTGGTTCTGTCTTTGTGACCTTGTGACTCTGTGTGAGTGTGTGCCTGAGAGAGAGAGAGAGAGAGGATGAGCATGGAGAGTTTACTGCCATTTCTAGGAATGGTGATGGCGATTCTGGCTCAAGCTGCAAATATGGTAGTAAACAAAGCAGCCATGTCCAAAGGGACCAACAAATACATTATGGTTGTGTATGCCAATGGCCTCTCCACTCTCATTCTTCTCCCTCCAGCCCTCTTCTTCCACCACAGGTTCTTCTTTCTTTAATTCTCCATCTCCCTCAATTCTTTAATTTACTGTGTTCATCAGTAAGGTGTGTGACAATCTTTCCTCTTCATGTTACTTTGATTTTCTGGTCATTGGCAGATCAGGGCGCCCTCCCCTTACATTCTCCATACTCTGCAGATTCTTCATGCTTGCCCTGTTTGGGTTGGTAACATAGTACAATGCAACTTTACACTACTTTTTTACATGTGAATTTGCAATTTCTTACATGTAAATTGAAAGATATATAACTCAATCAATTGACATGCGAATTAACAGTACTCCTCTTTCAGATTTTTTTTAGGGGTTCTTTATTGATGCATATTTAGAAAAAGAAATATATTCTGCTTGATTTTAGTTACTTCCATGCAGATGTTCTGCCCAGATATTTGGATATGTTGGTATAGAATACAGCTCTGCCACGCTTGGCACCGCCATGCTTAACCTCATCCCAGCATTTACTTTCATACTTGCCATCATTTTCAGGTTCTGTTTTTTTCTTTCTGATTGGAATATGAGAATACTGATCTGAATTATACATATATAGAGCTCATGGCAAATGACTAAAACTATTGAACATTTTCTTATAAGTTGATTTCTTAAAAGAAAAAACCAAATAGATTAATGTGTATGTGTAATCACATGCATTGATTGTTTGAAATGGGTGGTTTTAGGATGGAAAAGGTGCAGTGGAGAAGCTCAAGCAGCAAAGCCAAAATTTTGGGAACCATAGCATCAATCACAGGAGCCTTTGTTGTAACATTCTACAAAGGCCAGCCAATCATGCTGCTACCATCATCACATCCACTCAATCTCTTCTCATCAAAATCAAATTGGGTTCTGGGAGGCCTTTTTCTTGCAGCTGACTCCTTCTTCACTTCCTTATGGTACATTCTGCAGGTAATTAGGCCTATCATTCAATCATTCAATTACCCTTTCAAGAGCTCAAAGCAAAGAACAAGCAAATTAAGTAATTAATTAATTGTTTTATTTTCTTAATTCCTAACATTTGCAGGCATCAACCCTAAAGAAGTACCCTGCAGTTGTGGTCATAGTCTGTTTTCAATGCTTATTCACGACCATTCAGTCTGCATTATTTACTTTAATTGCAGTTAAAGATGCAAATGCTTGGGAGTTAAGGTTGGATATGGGGCTGATTGCTGTTTTGTACACTGTAAGCAAGCAAGTAGCAATGCCTATAATGTTTTCAAGTTCAAACTTTATTCATAAATTCATTTTTGTATGTTCATATATCTCATCATATAGGCAATTGTTTCAATCGTTCTCCGTTACACTATAACCACCTGGTGTGTGTGGAAGGCTGGAGCTCTGTTTTGTTCTATGTTTAAGCCTCTTGGAATTATTTTTGGTGTGATCATGGGTGCCATCTTTTTGGGAGATCCATTCTATTTTGGAAGGTACGCACAATTGTAACTCGTGTTATTGAAGCATTTGAATATAATCGTTAAGAGATTTGTAGCTTAAGTAGTTAAACATATTTATCCCACTATCCAAAATCTCGTTCCTATTAATTATAAAGGTTAACTTGTAGATTTTTTATGAATTTAGGTATCTGCGTGCAAAATTTTAAAAGTTGAGTTTGAAAAGACCTCAACGATTGAGTACTTTTATGTAAACTCTAATCATAATTTGATAGAGTCATAAGTGGTGGTCTCACTCTTTTTAGGTGCAATAAAGTAGTATATGTATGAAAAGACTATAATTATGGGTTTTGTAATATTAAACTTGCGTTAAAGTTAAGTTGGTTGAGAGAATGAGATTGATTGGTGGAAAACTTATAAATAATCAGAAACGACAACCAGTACATAATCATGGAAGAGAAATGGGGTACCCCAACCTCAATTAGTGACGACCCAGTGGATAATCTTTTATTTCATTGATTGATTGAAAGTTAATGAAAGCTACAGATGGTTTACAAAGTCTTTGCCTCTTAACAAGTCTGCACGTTTATGATTAAGCCTTCTTGTTAGCAAATTAATTAATGATAATTGTACAATAATTTTGCAGTTTGGTTGGTGCACTTATAATTGTTACTGGGTTTTATGCGGTGATGTGGGGAAAGGCCAAAGAAGAGAAGCTGGTGGAAGGTGGTAGTAGTTGGGAATCATTAGGTCAAAATAGAGCCCCTCTACTACAAAACAATATACAAGAGAAGCACAACTGCACAAGTATCTTGTGTAAATAACAAGGCAGGTTCTTTTTTGTTTGTGTATATTATTAAAATGGTCTAAATGTAATCAAATGCGAATAAATTTAATTTTTTTAATGGTGATTGTAAAGATTCGAGATCTCATATATGTAAGATTTGAGATCTCGACTCACTAACTTTAAAATTTATAATATTGATTTTTGAACTGGAACGATCGAGCATACAACTAATTAAAATGCAAAGCGATGTTTTCACCGTTCAACTTATCATTTGGTAACTAACTAGTTTTTAGTCTAATGAAACTCATCATTTCATCACTAATTAATTTTTAGTCTAATAATATTTCCCTTAATTTCATAAAGATGATTTTAAGTTGGAATCTCACTCACAAGTTGAAAAGAGAGATGAAATAAACATTGAAATTTGGAGTTACAAGTTACAACTAGTAAAAACTGGACAATGCTTGAAAGAAAATTGAAACAATGTTTTTCTTTTAGAGTGCTGCTAAACGAACCCTAAAATTAACTGAGTACACCCTATGATCTAAGTACACCTTAATATTTTAATCAAAATGTAAAATTAACTAAGTACACCCTATTTAACTACCAAAAATACCCCTAGTACACCCTAATACACTCTATCACACAACACCTTAATGGATCTGAATCATCAGCTTGGATTTTTGCCAAACGGACAAAAGCTAGCGTCGTCAGTTATCTTCTTCAGAAATAGATTCAAGGAATCCCAAGTATGAAACTCAATGATGCCAATTTTAGCTAGAAAAAGAAGAAGAAAAAAAACCCTTCTTTTTCCAATCAAATGATCACCAATCTAACTGGTTCACAACGTAATTAATAATCCATCCCGCATATACTTCCATGATGGCAACAAGCTGTGAGTGCGATAGGTGGGAGGAGATGAATGCGTGGGATTGAGGTTGTAGAGCGTTTTGTTTAAGGTAGAATTCCCTGTAATCGGTGTAGGTGTTGGAGGAGGCCTGGTTGTTTTTATTATTCTTATTATTATTTGAAGTGTTGCTCATTGTAAATTATTGCCCTAACAAACATAACCAGAAGGAACTGCAAATATCGTGTATTCTTTTGTCTTCCATAATTTCTTCTTTTCATTTCAAATCCAGCTAGCACCTCTATTTTACTCTCTCAATTGAAAATTATGGAAAAAATAATAGGAGTTTTAACTGACTGGCTTATAAATTATAATGGGATTGAGAATAAAATGATTTCTACAAGTTGAGAGTAGAAAGAAAGGTGATGGGATAAAATAAATAAAAATGGGGTTTTGAGGGTTTTGTGGACTCTCAAATTTTTGAAGAAGAAGAAGAAGAAAAGTAGATACCTTTTTGGTCATTTTATATTGGGATAAATGAGTAATTCAATAAATAATTTGGTAGTATGGTGTACTCAGTTAATTTTAGGATTCGTTTAGCAGCACTCTTCTTTTATCTTAAAAAGAAAAGGTGGAAACAACGTATTTAAAAAAATAGTAAAACCAAGTGGCGGGCAAAGTGAGACAAACAGAAACACACCAAACCAATTATGAATGAAAAAGTGAGTCTTCAATCAGTTGAAATTAAGTGCAGCTGAACGATCTGACGAGTTTGATAGAAAGTGTGTGTGTAATTCTGGTTGTGGGATTGAAGAGAAAAACAGAGCCATGGGGAAAGTTGCAGCACTACCTATAGTAGGGATGATGATGACTGAGTGTGCTGGAGCAGGGGTCATAATACTAAGCAAAGCAGCCATGTCTACTGGCATGAGCAACCTCATCTTTGTCTTCTACTCCAACGCTCTTGCATCCCTCATCCTCCTCCCTACTTCTTTAGCCTTCCACAGGTAATTAAATCTCACTCTTTCTGAACTACCCAGAAACCAAAGATTTTGTTTTTCACTATAATTTCCTACTTTGATCACAAATGTAATTCCTTTCTTTGCTTTTGTGTTCTTGGTAGATCGCGTCCTCCTCTCACTTTCTCTGTCCTCTGTTGGTTCGTCTTCCTTGGTCTAATTGGGTAAGTCACTATTTTCATCAACAAATCACAATATTAGAAAATCCCATAAAATATGATAAATTAAAGGTTGCATTTGGGGTTGTTTTGTTTGCACAATTGACGCTTTTAATTTGTTGCTTGTGATAAGTGGATTATGTTTAGTGGGTTTGATTGGTATTAGCATTTTGCAGATTCGTTGCGCAGTTTGTTGGGTATGCTGGGATTAATTACAGCTCTCCTACTCTTGGCACGGCCATGCTCAACCTCCTTCCTGCTTTTACCTTCATACTAGCAGTCATCTTCAGGTCACGCCCTCCTCTTATTACTCACCCCATCCTCTAGGGTTACCTATTTTACTTTTGTCTTAGTGGAAGCTATTTTAGCTTGTTTTTCTATTTTACTTGGGAAATTGAGCACACGCAGGTAGGCAGTCTGGAGCATACTTTTGTTTTGTTTTGTGTTTTCTAAAGAAACCTTCTAGGGAAAAATAATAAAAAAAGTTTCTGAAAGGTTATGTTTTGAGTCTTGAGTCTTTGGCCTTAGTTTCCCAGGAGAATCAAGTTTCTTCTGCTGTATCCACATTGCAGTACTTGTTATGTTTTTCAAAGATTTCTGTAGAAGAACCAGTGTAAAGAGTTCAATAATCTTATTTTCTTGTCTCCAATGGGAATTTCAGCTGATGAGCTTTCTCTCATAGTTGTACAAATTTTGAGACAGTGGTAGACTGCTAGTTTGGTAATGTCACGCCGTCGACCATTTCTAAATTCATTCAACTGGGTATTTTCAGAATGGAAACAGTTGACTGGAGAAGCTCCAGTACCCTAGCTAAATCCTTGGGAACAATGCTTTCAATTTCAGGGGCATTCATTGTGACTCTTTACAAGGGCCCTGCACTTCTGTTGACATCCTCAACTGATATATTGTCTCATAAACAACTTTTCTCACAACAGTCAAACTGGGTCATTGGAGGAATTCTCCTTTTGGTTTATTGTGTGTTGGCTTCATCATCTTATATTATACAGGTAAGACCTGTGAATTAAAAACCCTTATGAAACTGTGGAATTTGTTTAGAAAATTGAGATTAGTTATTATTCTATTCTGTGTTTCAGGCATCAGTCATAAAGAAATACCCAGCAGAGCTAACTATGGTATTTTATTATTGTTTCTTTGTGGCTATTCAAGCTGTAGTAGTCTCTTTGATTGTAGAAACAGACCTAAGTGCTTGGAGCTTGAAACCTAAAATGAGGTTGATCGCTGTTGTATACTCGGTAAATGGAAAACGTAACTCAACCATTACATACCTATTGGATTCAGATATGTGCTAAAACATGAACCTAAGCTGCTCAACCTTTAAATTATATTATTGTAGGCAGTTTTTGGCTCGACATTTACGATTGGTGTAACCACATGGTGCCTTCATAGGGCAGGGCCTGTTTTTATAGCTATGTTTAAGCCTTTGGGGATTATTGTTGCAGTTTCCATTGGTGTTACTTTCGTTGGGGATACTTTCTACCTTGGAAGGTAGGATTTCTACCTTGTTTTTCCCTCTTAACTACCATATCTAAATGCTGCAGAGTGAGAGACATTAACTTTGTTCCTGGTGAAAAAAAGGAGATAAATCAGTTGCTTGCTGAATCCTGCAGTTTGGTAGGAGCAATTGTAATTGTCATTGGTTTTTATTCGGTGATGTGGGGCAAAGCCAATGAAGAGAAGGTGGATGGTGGTGCTGAGGCAAAGAGCTTGGCAACAAGCAACCAACGGGTCCCTCTATTACAAAACAGTCTTGAAGAAATATAGAAGTTTACAGTAATCACACCATGAGGTTTCTCTTGCCAAACAAATGGGTACTCTATATCCTCTTCTTCGTTCTTTCAGAATGCTACCATTTCTGTCATTCTTGAAAATTGGGATAGGTTATTGTGGAATTGTTTGCTGAAGGCCATGGAAAATTGAGGATAACTGGAAAACTCATCCTTTCCATCAGTTGTTATACTCCAATTCAGGCCACTCATTTGGCGCTAGGTTGGTCCATTATTTTTGGTATTTTAACTATTTAAGATAACCAGACAATCCATGATGCTGTTTGTATCACCAACAGATAGTGAAATACCATCATCATGCACATGTGGGTTTGGAAATATCTAACAACCACTGTTGATGTGACAATTAGAGAAGATGGCAGCCAACCGTCAAGTTTTATTTTTATTTTTATTATTTTGTATGCAAGCGATATTGGGTGAGGGGGGATTCCAATGTAGGACCTTGGGTGCAGGGGAAACCGTCAAGGTTAATTGCAAGCAATGACCTGTTTGCCAATGGGTACTTGCGTATAGGCACAATATGGAGATTTATGTTTGGTATTTTTCTGCATATACATTTGGTAGTTTTGTTCATAATATGCCCTTACCTGACGGGAGAAGTTTTGTATCTATAAAATGTAGGGTTGTGAACATGGGGAGCATGATCATACATATCATATCAGCATCATTTGGACGTTTTGCAGGGTCAAACTTAAAGGCAACCGTAACAGAAACATTTATGTGAAAGCAGCTTCTTGTTTGGAAATGAAATCTAGTTGTGGTAGTTGGTTTAAGATGTATGATCTCCTTCTTCATTAGTTGTAGCAAATAAGGTAACAATAAGTTAGTTAGGCTTGGGAGGGAAGGAATGATGGCAATTGGCGAGGGCTAAAGTTCTTGAAGAACCTATTTTCCACTATCTAATTGAAACATCTGTTGACATCTTCTGTTGTTTCTGTAATTATATATCATTATTTTTCTTTCTAATCATACTAGTACTTCAAATTGTGCAATTGAAATGCAGGCTCTTGTAGGCTGATATTCATGGGAATTATGAATTATATATGCTGAAAATTTTGCTAAAATATGTTAAGATCTGGGTTGAGTTCAGATTTTTTAAAAAAATCTAAGGCAAGATACAAGAGAAGCACAACTGCAGAAGTCCTCTGTTTATGCCTAATGGAAATGGAATTCCTCTGTTTCTAGTTGATGCATTTTCAAATTTTATCAATTAAAAAATGTAAAAACGTGTACCAGCCTAAATGGAACCAATAACTAAACCTAAAAATTAAGATAATTGCGTTTTGTACAAGTAAATACATAATCACACCACATAACTAGAACTGGCAACGAATAATTTGACAAAGAAACTAACTATACCATCAGGTATCACTTTTCCTGCGCCTTAAGCCAGTTGGGCCTGAAAGACAATCATGACAGATATCAATAGCTTCAGTGTCAAACTTGCATGCTTTCAACTGTAAAGCAGTGGTCCCTCTTGTTTGTATATGTCACAAGGCACGACACAAGGTGCATGCTTACAGAAACACACACACACAAGCACACACAAAGGTTTTTCTGGGTTTTTTTTCCTTCTTGGCATGGGGAAGGGAATTTCAGTGGCTTTTGTGGCAATGGTGATGGCAGTTCTTGCTCAGGTGACTAGTATGATATTGAACAAAGAAGCCATGAGCAGCGGACTGAGTGAATATACTCTTGTTGTCTACTCTAATGCTCTCTCCACTCTCATCCTTACCCCTTCTTCCTTCATCTTTCACAGGTCTCATTTCCTTCTCGGTTTCTTTCACACTGTTTATACATTTTGAAACTACATTCCCCTGCATGTTTATAATATATATCCGACTCTTCATTTAATGGCAGATTAGAGCGTCCTCCACTCAGCTTCTACATCGTCTTCAGCTTCTTCTTACTTGGCCTTATTGGGTTTGTAAAAAAGACCTTGTTTTTATTTTCGAAGAGGTTCAAGTTGTACGTACTACTCAATTTTCGACTTGTCTTGCGCTTTTCCACTTTGCAGCTAATTTAATCCTCATTATATATAGAACTTCTGCACAGTTAATGGGACTTGCTGGTTTAAACTATGCCTCTGCTACGCTTAACACAGCCATGCTCAATCTCATTCCAGCCTTTACATTCATACTTGCCTTACTATTCAGGTTTCTAATTTCTCAATTTGTAGTTCCTACTTCTTTCTATCTGTCAGGCGTTTGAGTAATTGAGTTGAGACCAAAAACGTAATAATAATAATGTCTTATGGTAAGTTGAGGATAAAATAATTGTTCTCCAAGTCACCCATGATTTTATGTGATTAATTAGGATGGAAAAGCTAAACTGGAGGAGCTCTAGCAGCCAAGCTAAGTCTGTTGGAGCTGTAGTGTCAATTACAGGGGCATTTGTTGTGACTTTCTACAAGGGCCCAGCAGTGATCCACCAACGCTTGTCTTCCGACCCGTTGAGTGGTCCATTTCTCTTCTCACCAAAATCACATTGGGTCCTTGGAGGATCACTCCTAGCCGCTGAGGCATTCATGTCCTCATTATGGTTTATTCTGCAGGTAATTCGATTTAATATTTGTATTGGTGGTGAGTTTGTACAAGTACTAGGCTTCTAGCTAATTAAATAGGACCCTTTTTTCTTTTTGCAGGCCTTAATCCTTAAGAAGTACCCTGCAGTGCTGATCTTACTCTCCTTCTACTGCTTCTTTGTGACCATACAATCTGGATTAGCCTCACTGATACTAGTAAAAGACCCATGTGCTTGGAGTTTAAAACCCAATATTGGCTTGTTTGCAGTTTTATACTCAGTAAGGAAATAATTACCGTCCCAATGTTCTGATTTCATGTTCTAACTCCAATTATACAAAAACTGGAATTAGGAAATAAGTAAGAATTAGTTGAAGGCATAAATCTACTTTGACCTTGAACTTTGGCCTAATTTTTTGTTTACTCTTCTGTTTGTTGTGAAGTGGTGAGTATGTAACATGGGGTACAATTTGGAAAATGTAGGCGGTTGTTGGGACTGCGTTACGTACCAGTGCGGTAGCATGGTGCCTGCAGAGAACAGGACCTGTGTATGTTTCTATGTTCAAGCCCCTTGCTGTTGTTGTCGGAGATGTCATTGATGTAATTTTTCTGGGACAAGTTCTGCATCTCGGAAGGTATGAACACATATTTCTCTGTATTTTGTTGACTGATCTGATTGTGCAAGATACCTCTGAGTTCAATGTGATATACTTGATGCAATTTGCTAAAATGTAGTAGATGATGGTGTAGCTTTTCAACTTGTACTAAATACCATCTTTTTTATTTGCCAATAGTGCATAAAAAGTAATCAAAATCTTACTGCAGCTTGGTTGGAGCAGCTGTAATTATCACTGGCTTTTATGCTGTGATATGGGGTAAGGCCAGAGAAGAGAAGTTGCATGAGGACAGTGGAGAAGGGCAGTGGTCAGAATCATCATCTGAAAGCACCCCCCTGCTGCAAAGTGCAAAATAAGACACAGATTTGTCTTGTATAGAAACCATGGTCTTAGACGTCTTTGTAATTTTGATGTGCAATTTGATGTGATTTATGCATATATATATATATATATATATGTTAAGCATTTCCATCTATCAAAAGAAAAATATGTTGAGCATTTCCATGCAGATGTTCATCTCAGATATTTGGAAATATTGGTATAGCATACAGTTCTCCCACGCTTGCCACGGCCATGCTTAACCTAATCCCCAGCATTTACTTTCATACTTGCCATCATTTTCAGGTTCTGCTTTTTCCTGATAGTAAGAGTAATTTGAACTTGGGGACCCCTACTCAGCGAATGTATGTGCATGACTATGACTAAATATATTAAACTTTCCCTTTATAGTTGATTTCTTATGAAACTAAGTAGAATGGGATAATCTAATCCCATGAGTTGGTGAGAAGAGAAATAGGATACTCTAATCCACAGCTTGATTGGCTACATTTTAACAAGTGACAAGGACTTTCATATTCAAAAACAAAATTTTCAAAAATGACCAATAGCAGCAGCTTGTCTAGTTGAAATTTCAAAGGGTCAGCTGTCCTCCAGTTTTCCGCTAATTGGAACAGAAGATGCGAGTGAAAATACTGCAATTAGGTCCTCTTTGTTGTTATTAAGAACAAATATGCTTCAATTGTTTGAAATGGGTGACTGAGGATGGAAAAGGTGCACTCACTGGAGAAGCTTAAGCAGCCAAGCGAAAGTTTCTGGAACCATAGTCTCAATCACAGGAGCATTTGTGGCAACATTCTACAAAGGCCTGCCAATCATACTGCTATCATCATCACTCTCCAATTCACCCAATCAACTCCTTTTTCTCATAACAATCAAACTGGATTCTGGGAGGGCTTTTTCTTGCAGCTGAAGCCTTCGCAACTTCTTTATGGTACATTATGCAGGTAACTAGGCCTATTACCAACTCAATTACCCTTTCTAGAGCTGAAAGTAAAGAACAAGCAAATGTGAACAAGCAAATGTTTGCAGGCATTTGTCGTTAAAAGTACCCAGCAGTGGTGTTCATGGTCTTTTACCAATGCTTATTCGCAAGCACACAGAGAGGTTTTTCTGGCTGTTTTTTTTCCTTCTTGGCATGGGGAAGGGGGTTTCATGTTGAAGTTTTTGGATCTGCCCGATGGGTCCCACTCTAACAATATCGATACTGTCCCCACTTTACCACCTGCACAATCCGTCAGGTGTGGGGTTTTACCACAAAAGGTCTCGATATTAGTTAGAGTGTGGTAATTCTATTTAAACCTATTTATTTTCTTTCACCCCACCAATGTGGGATTCCAACAGATGGCAGTTCTTGCTTAGGTGACTAGTATGATATTGAACAAAGAAGCCATGAGCAGCGGACTGAGTGAATATACTCTTGTTGTCTACTCTAATGCTCTCTCCATTCTCATCCTTACCCCTTCTTCCTTCATCTTTCACAGGTCTCATTTCCTTCTCGTTTCTTTCACTCTGTTTATACATTTTGAAACTACATTCCCCTGCATGTTTATATATATATATATATATATGACTCTTTCTTTAATGGCAGATTAGAGCATCCTCCACTCAGCTTCTACATCGTCTTCAGCTCCTTCTTACTTGGATTTATTGGGTTTGTAAAAAAGACCTTGTCTTTATTTTAGAAGAGATTCAAGTTGTACGTACTACTCAATTTTCAACTTGTCTTGCGCTTTTCCACTTTGCACAGGTAATGGGACTTGCTGGTTTAAATTACGCCTCTGCTACGTGTTGCGTAGATTTAGCTCCACCAAAATGGATTAAGCTGCATCCTCAACTTGTGATACTCGCAAGTGCACGAACCGTTGGTAGTATAGCATATGTAAGTGCGAGGTCGATTCCACAGGGATTGGTGATTGAATGATCCAATTTAGTTTCCCTACACAAAATAGAAACAAAAACAAAG